GTTATTTTTATTCAAACATTTTATTGTTTCAAGACACCATTAATCTGCGGTGATGATGTCATCAAGCATCATGGAACACAGGAAATGCAACCTGGTTACCTATTGGCTAATTTCCAGGCGTTCAAAAAATAAACAATTTAGAGAGCAAACATTTCATATTTCGTATGGTACGGGAAACACTGGATTATTATGGCAAGTGTTTTAATTATCAGAGGCATTCAATAGTTGTTTGGGAGTGTGGTTGATGTTAATTTCTGGTATATAATCAAAATTCATGTGAAAACATTTATGATGCAGGACCCTGATCCATAAAGATTCAACAGCAACCTGTAGAAGACAGTTCAGGCTGGCTGATTTTAATTTCAGTTTGTTTATAACAAAAGTTAACAAAATTATATATAAAAAAAAAAAAATCCCCAAAACAATGTTATTTAATGTCATAAATGTGAGTTCTTGAGGCTTTGTTTGCGTGGCTTGTTGTTGTAGTATCATATATTACCACCGGGTGGCAGTGTAGGAAATCAGACAGCTGTTTTGAGGCTGAGTTGGGACTCCTCTCCTTGACTCTGAACTTTAAACAGGAATATATAAAGAATTACATTTCAAAACTCTAAATAATATTTATCCTTCTAACGAGTTTATCAGAAATAGATTTAAATTTGAATGTGATAACTGTTATATATGTAACGAACCTGAAACAACAGAACATTTATTTTATTTCTGTCATTCTGTGAACACATTATGGAAATCCCTTCACGATCTCCTGACCATCAAATCTATGAACATAGACTCCTTCTCCGTTCAGAATATATTATATGGATATGTATCTGAAAATAAAAAAGATGAATACCTTGTCAATAACATTATCATAATATTAAAATTCTATATACATAAATGCAGATATGGCAAGTCTAAACCATTATGGTCTGTATTCAAACAAGAACTCCAGTTGTTAAAACTTTCATTAGACAGTGCTAAAAAACCACAAGCAAAAAAGTTCTCTGATCACCTCGCTCAGATAATATAGCCCTCTGACAAATTATTTTAGTAATTATGTAGATTCTTAGATAAATAGTTAGTTGTTTAATTTACTGTACTATGTTATTTGCAAACTCTCAAATAGTATTATTACCTAAATTTAAGTTTATGATGGTTGATATGATAATTCGTTTAAGAATATGTTGACCTTAGGAGGTATGATTGTAGATATTTGTATATGTTTATATGTATCATTGTAATTTGAGATTGTCATTTGTTGTACTATTTGTGTTTTTTTGTTCTTTTGTTCTGTATGTTCAGTAGTTCAATAAAGTAAAAAAAAAAAAAACTTTAAACAGGAATAGCAGACACCGGCGTTTATGCAAAGAGCACAATCGGTCTTACCGGTGGTTGTCATCATGGAAGAGTACAACACTGGGGATGATGTAAAGTCTTTTTTATTATGTTCAAGTATAGGGAAGCACCGGTGTCAGCAGTTTAAATCTGCACTGGTTCCTCTAGTTAGCTGTTAGCTTTTCCTGTTAGCTCACATTAGCTTTTAGCTCAGCTAGCTACCTGAAGATTAAATCAGAGGGTGTGGTTCAGTCATCAGTAATAATTTTGATTATTTTAACATCCGGGTCATGAAATTTTGCTTTTGTCACTTATTGTGGCAGTTACCTAAACTGATGGATTATAATTATGATATTGAAAAAGTAAATTGGCTATGAGTCTCTTAATTACTTTTTTTTATAACAAAGCATGTCTTCTTTATAGCATATTGCATCAATTGAGCTAATTAATAAATAGTTACGTGTAAGGCCGCTGGTGATATTTTGTGCTTTCTGATTTAATGCTACACGTAGCACGGCTTGGAAAAACTGCATTGAAAAACTGAAATACAATTACGA